TTTTTTTAACTCTCTTTTCTTTCTTTTTCTTTTGTTTTTTTTTTTTTTTCCAATTTCTTGATTGGTGAAATGGTTATGATCCATTAAAGTGATAAAAGGGTCTTAGGAATCTAGTTAGGGGTGGCCATGGCTGGGGCCCATGCATTGTATTTCTGCACTTTTACTCCACAGATTCATAAATATCGTCATTAGAAACCATTGCACTTCTTTCTAAGATGTCTCCATCTCAAAACGTATTGGATAGCCATGTTTCCTTGATTATCTTCTTTAGCTGGCAACAAAGATTATCGCAGTTCTACATGACTGATTATGTAAGAAAGTTCCACTTTCTATTATGTACACTATAAGTCGAGTGCATATTCTGTGGGTAAACTTGTTTTCCCAATACTTCCATACTAAACAAAGTGACGTGAACTAACATTCTTGTCGAGGCACTGCAGAAAAATTGATGCTTAACCAGGAAACTTTTATGGTGGTGGGAGAAGAATTCCTAACACCGTTTCGGAAATACGTTAATTTACATCTTTTATGTTAAAACTTGGAAATTTCAAACATTATAGTTGTGTAAGTTACGATATCTTTATGAATTTTAAAACAATATTATAGCTTGCACATTTCAATAATATACTTACAAACATTAAACGTTTAAGTTGTAAATAGACTTGTAAACAGATAGCGGTACGATGAAGGCACCGTAAAAGGACCTTGTTAAATGGATACTTTAACTGTTAAACAAAAGTTTAGAAGTAATCCTTTTCACTACATTGATCATGATAGCCTTTAATAACTATGGCAGTAATGTTGGTTTCTCAAACCGGATTTTCAAAAAAAATTGTGCGGAAGCGTGGTATCGATTGAATCACATAAATTAAAATTTAAGGCGATCATTATTTCATGTTAATTTAACTACAAAGATATTAAAGAAAGGAATGAGGATTTGACCGTTGTTCGATTAGGACGAAAATCTTGAACTCCTCCAACACCGTCTTGAGCTCTTAAATTCTAAGAACACCACGGTTCTTTCTCAATGTATCTCCGGATTAACGTGAACTCGAACGTATGGGCGTTCTAATGGGTTTCTTAACACATGAGATTGATAAATAGGAAAGCTACCTATAGTTATCACTCACTTTTCTCAAAAGTATATGATGACACTCAAGAAATTTTCTTTGGTTTTTTTTTTTCTTTCTTTCTGTTCTCTCCGGAAAAAAAAACTTTTTTTT